CAGGACTGTCGGCCCTGCCGTGGGGGTGGGCCTCGGAGCTGCGGCGTTCCGGGAGTGTTTGCATTAGCAAATTAACGTGAAGCTCTCTCATCTCTAACGAGAATGCTTCGCGTTCTATGTCACCTTTTTTTCTCTAGGGACGCTCAAACCAGACAACTGCAAGATGCTGTCACAAATGTGGAGAAGCATTTTGGGGAACTGTGCCAAATCTTTGCTGCTTATGTGCGTAAAACTGCCAGACTGCGAGACAAAGCAGACCTCCTGGTGAATGAAATCAACATGTATGCCTCTACGGAGACCCCAAATTTAAAGCAAGGCCTGAAAAACTTTGCTGATGAGTTTGCCAAACTTCAGGATTATCGACAAGCAGAGGTATGGGGTGAGGTCACAGCGTCATTGTTAGGAATGACCCAGGAAGTAGTCGTTTAAGGTTCCATGAAGATTTTCATTGTCATCTACTTACTAACTGCAGTGGCGAACACACATTGATGACAAACATACATGTTCATGTTTGTAACACCGTGCGAGTCCAGGGAAAGGAAGTTTTCTGTGATGTAGCTTGCTGTTTTCAAACAAAACTTTAGGGTGTCTGTGAAATCTTGAATTTACCCACTTCTTTGCTAACTTTTGCCAGGGTTCAGAGGGTAAACATACGGGAAAGAAAACTAGGACTTCCATATTGTGTGTGTGTGAGTACATTTTAATGTGTTACTAGAGATGGAAAATACTGAGAATGCCAATATGAAGGAACAAATTAATAAACGGGCAAGAATGTAGACGCTTCCATACTCTAGATGTAAACTAGTAAAACGCTGTGAAGGCTTTTTGTTTTTTGCTTTGAGTGGTCGAATACTTGTTGAATTGCTTTCTTTCTAAAAGTCCGTTATTTCCTTTAATATGTCATAAGCACTTTCACTATTTTCTGTTTCAAAACAAACGTTGTCAGAGGCTGCGCAGTTAGAACTCGCGTTTTGGTTTTTTTTTTTTTTTTTTTTTTTTTTGGTACTTTTCTCATCAGTGCGCTCATCTTTCATTGTTTTTTTTTTACAGCCCAAAACTGAAATTTTATCAAAAAGCTGAGAATAACCTTTGAAACCACCATTGTTATGCATATAAAACATTTTAGTGACCACATTTAGATACCTTTTGGAAAATGCTGAGTTCTTGTATCTTGTATCTGTAATAAGAAATTCTCAGTTCCACATAGTATCTGAGTATGTTGTTTCAAAACTAATTGTATTCAGATACTTCAAAAATCCTATTTTAGCCAGTAATTTCCCCTTTCTAGAAAACTTGTACGTTATTTATCAAACAGCAAAGTGAATTGATCTACGTTTGTTCTCCTTTTACTTCCTTTGCTTACCAAATGGTGGAGATGCTAACGAACAATGACAAAAGGTAGGCAACAGGAAGAACTGAGGGGGCGTCCTGAGTAATCTTTACACCAGGCAGCGTACGGACTATTAGAAATGCTGCAAAATAACCTGTCCTGAATATTCACTGATTGTAGGGTTCCTGATATTTAAATGCTTGATGGAACTCGATTTTTTTTTATTTTCCTAAAATCTTCTAAAATGAAGTATTCGAGGGCTGGGCATATAGCTCAGTGGCACAAGTGCCTGCCTAGCAAGTGCAAGGTCCTGAGTTCAATTCCCGGTACCAAAACAAAGAAAAAAAAATGAAATATTCATGTTTTTGTATAAAAAGGGAAAAAATGTACTCACTGATTAGCATATATCATTTAAAAAGGCTTGTACCTGCTATAAAACTAATACTTATCCATTTTAAGCAATTAAATAAGTACATGCCATTTGTATTACCTGTCCTGACAAAATTTTAATATCCAAATTGTTTTGATCACTGTTGTATTTATACATACTTGTCTTTTTAAAAACTTTTAGTGCTATTAACATTAGTAGTAAAAGAATTACTCAAATTGTATTAAGAACTGTAAGAAACACTTTAATTCTACATTAATTCTAGGCCATACGTGACAAATCAGTGATACTAAGACAACTTATTCTCTATCCTCGATAATTTAAATGGCTCTCAGAAGAAAAAAAAAAAAAAAAAACCTGCAAAAAACAGTAATGTCTATGCTTTTTTGCTTTTGAGGGCTTTTAAAAGGTGTTTCCAGTATACTGTATTTTTCAGCTTCACTTTTCTGGAAAGTTGGACTATTACAGTTCAGAGAATTCTGTGATGTACCCACTAGACACACTGAAAATGACAGCTGTATCACAATGCTGATGTCTTAATTGTTAAGGTGAAAAAAAAAAGACCACTGTGTGGCAAGGATCCGCCCCACAGAAACCCCACTTTGTCGTATTGTACACTGGCTGCTCTTCCGCTTTTGTGGTTATTATATTACTCAACAGGGTCTCGTGTATGGAAGTTTAGAATCTGAGTTTTAGAATCTCAGCCTTACCAAGTTCTGGTGATTATTCTTTTACATATGAAGATGTGTTAAAACAATGGCATTTTAATTTAAAATATTAATCTGTACTGTAATTATTTCAGGTTTAAACAGCATAGGTTTTATTTCAGTGTTTAAATTTTGATATCTCTATGTTTCTTTTCAGTTATATTTTATAATAATTTTCAATAGGTTGAAAGACTTGAAGCCAAAGTGGTTGAACCTTTGAAAGCTTACGGAGCAATTGTAAAACTGAAACGGGTAAGTAAATCAACCACAAAGAGTACGAGGTTTCAAACTATCCTTTTAGTTAAAAAATACAAAGTAACATGTGTTCATGTACATGCTGTGAAAGACAATTTGATTTTTAAGAATGAAATATTTTTAATGAGCTAACAAAAATGCTTTTAAAATATGCGATGGCAGGGTAAGACATTTTACTGGAAATTTTAAAACGTTTCATATTTAAAGTCAAAGAATATATAGGCAAAGTATTTTACCAAACGAGTGTAATTTTATGTATCTTTGTTTTAAAGCGGATGACACTTGTACTTCATGGATGTGCCAAAGTTCTATTTTTAAAATCAACTTTATTGAAGTACAATTTACATGCAATAAAATTCAGCTATTTTTAAGTGTTTATTGAGTTTTGACAACTCCATAGCCATAAAACCACCACCGCAATCAAAATCGTACATATGTTTGTGGTTGCAGTTTGGCACTGAATGATGTCATTATTTTGAGAGTATTTTTAAAAATACATATTCCGACACACAGACATACATTAACCCTACAGTACTCGTAATTCTTGTGATGATACCTTGGATCAAACGCAGCTTTCTTCCATTCTTAGAACACGGTGTATTTTATTTCTTACATCAGAAGCCTTTATTGACCAAAACAAATGCATTTGCAGGACGATCTCAAAGCAGCATTAACAGCAAGGAATCGAGAAGCTAAGCAGCTGACTCAGTTAGAAAGAACACGTCAGCGAAACCCTTCTGACCGACATGTAATTGTATCCTTTGGTTTTTGATCATAGAACACTTTGTAAAGTGTGCAGTATATATATGGGCGTTATAAATTTCTAGTTTTAAATATGTAGAGATTCTTAATATATATATTGAAATGAAACGTAATTTAGGAGTTCGCACTACAAAACAGCTGATTATAAGGTGATTACACCACCTAACTCAATATTCTTACATTGTTTTCCACAATAGACTTTCCAAAACAAAAAAAGCCCGTCATACATGCAGATGTCTTCACAAACTCAGAATCCTGAGATTTTTACACAGCATGATGGCTATGTAATTATAAAATTAAAGATCATGAACACTAATGTCAGTGCCCTCTCTGCCCCACTTTTGAGAAAAATAATCCTTCAATAATTCTCTCCATCCTTAGATAAACAAACAAAACTTAGGTAAAACCATAATTATGACTTTCAACAAAAAACCCTCAGGACACTCAAGTATAATTAAACCGGTCACAGCTGGACACAAAGGTATCTAAACAGGAGTCTACTGTAACAAGGTTCTTCTGGTAAACATAGCTTTCTCTTTTGGGGCAGGGAGGTCTTTTTGAGACAGGGTCTCACTATGCAGTTCAGGCTGGCCTTGAGCTCACTTTGTAGCCCAGGCTGATCTCAAACTCAAAAGGATCCTCCTACCTCAGCCTCCTGAGTGCTGGGATTACAGGTTTATAGGCGTGCAGCACCACACCCAGCATGAACATAGCTTTCTTAAACTAGTGTACCTTGTTGAAGACTGAAAAAATATATGCTAATTGCTAACTGCCAGGAACTGCTAGGATTGTGTAGAAAGCACCAATTCATCCCTGGTCTTTTTTCCCATTCTTTTGTGTATGTCTCTTTCTACTTCCTTAAGGTTACTGCCCAGCTCAGCCAAAAACTGCAAGTGGCACATTGGAGCATTTAAGGTTCCAGGACACCTCCTTTCCCGAAGGGAATCCCATGAGCAATAATTTGCGGCTGGGCCAGTTGCCTGGTCTTCCTCTGAACTAAAGGTACATAGGTGCAACCTGTACTAAACAAACAGGCAGCTGTAGGGCTGAGTGCACCCACAGGAGGCCGGGGCAGGTAGATGTAGGCAGTTGCTGAGGCTTAGGAACACACACTGGAGACTGTAGGAGTGTATTTTAAGTAAGCCAGACAAATCAAGAGAAGCTGGAAATTTCATGACAAGTAGAGATAAGGCAGAGGCCAGGAAGAGTCATGCCAGTGTTTAAGAATTAAACTAGAGAACAAAATCTTTTGTTTTGCTCTTGGTGAGAGGGGATATATGAAGGCAGGCAAAACAAAACATCTGGAATTGGTGACTGAATGAGTATTGGTATTGACCTTCAACACACAAATGACTCTATTCCTAGAACAAAACTGTTTCTGACAGATGTTCTGTCAACACTGCTGTGAAAGTAGTCTTACAGCATTGCATGAAATGTTTGTGGGTTAAAAATTGAGGGAAATGAAACAAAAGATTGTTGCTACAGGTGAACTAATGTGATCAATGGATAAGATCTAAAACTTGTGGATTCTGACCACTTGAAACTAGAAAACAAAGGATAATCTATATATTTAACTATAGTGAGTATAAAAAATATTCATCATAGCATTCTAGTATTTTTAATAGGACTATTAAAATTTAACTGACTATTTAGAAGCATGCTGAAGTTCAATATGTAAAACAAAATGAAGTTCCTCTGGGTTGAAGAATCATCCCAGGGTTCTGTTTGCTAAACCTTGAAGGTCTTGGATGAGTTCTGAACAGCTTCCTATAACACGGTTTGACAAGCATCCACCTGGCTCAATCTTTTATAACATTTGAAACATATACAAATATAGATTAAGATGAAAATGAGTATATTTAAAGTGCTTTTTAATCTTGAAATTGTAGTTTACCAATTTTAAGAATATATAATTCTATAGGAGTGATTTTAACTTATTGAAAAATCTGTTCTATTACCTTCAAAATGTATTTTTTCCTTTATGAAAAATTTCAGTCACAGGTGGGTAATAAAAAGTGGTGTATCGAGACATGGATCCTTATAGTAAACCTTTTTACTTATTCAATTTATACCCGCTCTTGACAAAGAAAGTAATGATTCACAATATTAGATGTCACAGAACTTTGATGACAGATACAAGTTTTATTCATGGTTAGTTATTAAATAATGGTATGACACGAGCAAATATACTAGCATAAACATCAACTTTGCTAGGAATAATTTCATCAGAAAATTGGGTTATACTTTAAAATCTGTTACTACTTTGAGAAATGTCTTGTATGATTTCTCTTTTAAAATTTCTTACATTTTAAGAAAATATTTTTAATGTTTTGGGGCAACTATTAACCTGAAGAAAAAGAGGCTCAAGGAGAATACATGATTAAACTGGAAATGCCTGCACTTAACATTACTACTTATTGTCACCACATCGGACTGTTCGAGTTCTTGAAATACAACTACAGTAACCTACAGTTTTATGTTTATTTAATGTGGCAGGTGGCCAACATATTAACTGCACAACACACTTAGTGTGAGTACATGTCACCATATATAAACATTAAACTTGCCATCTAATTTACTACTAGTGTACATATACTTTTGTAGACACGTAAGCCAAATAAAAGTGTATTTTTAATTCTTGAGAATGTACTAAGTAAAAATCCCATGCTGAAATAATTTTTGTAGTGTATATTCCACTCCACCTGACGACTATTATAAAATTACAGACAGTGAATGGATTTGGAGAACTGTTAAAAGTAAAACAGTAGGAGATGTGAATTACTGTATATACTTGTTAGCCTCCAGTACTATACTTCAGTGTTGTAATGATTTAAAAAAAAATGAGTCTTTTCAGTGCTGGAAATTGTTGACAACCAGTTTTCTACTGTGAACTCTCCAAGCCCTTTGCAAAGACTACTTCATTTGACTCATAAAATAATCTTACGAGATAAAGTGTGTTGTATTTTACAGATTGACAGTGCCTAAGAGAACTGGAGATATTTGTTAATCATAAATCTTTCCTTTTGGGGGAAGAAAGAAGGGAAGAGAAAGAGAAGAAAAAGGATAGTATGAGAAATGGCATAGGCAATGAAACAGAAGGAAGCAATAGAAAAGGGTTTATGAATAATCCAAGTGACAAAAAACTGGTTTTATAGAAACGGACTTTTGTTTTGAATTAATGAGTGATGTTACTTAAGAGATTTAAAACTGATTCTGCATGACTTATTATATACATCATTTTATTATATGTGGTAAATTATAATACTGAATAATTTACACTGTTATGCCAAAACACAAACACTGAAATCGTAGTATCTCCCAATAATTCAACTAAATGGATCCTGATTTAATATTTTATATTTTTGATTGGGGAATACTTTTATAGGCAGAAGCTGAATTACACATAGCTTCAACAGATGTTACCCGAACAACTCGTCATCTGGAGGAAACTATTGACAATTTTGAAAAGCAGAAAATAAAGGATATCAAGGTAATTAAATGACTGTTAGGTTCAAAAAATGTTTTCTCATCTTACTTTTGTTTAAATTTATGGAAACAAATTACTGATTTTTTTTAGTCCACAGTTCCTATGAAAAGATATCATAGCTCAAAATATATCAAATGTTAACAGTGGTATATAAAGGGGCTATATTCTCAACTAGAGGCCAAATAGTCAAGCTTGTATCACAAATACTGTTTGATCAGGAGGCACTAATATTTATTGTATTTTTATGTATCAGGTGCCATCCCAGGTACTTCATCTTCACAGCAATCACAAGAATGAGGTAGTTATTTAAAAAAAAAAAAAAAAAAAAAAAGCAGAGTACAATGTAATTTACCCAGAGTATCACAGCCAGAAATATTAGCCAGTTTTTTAAAAATGTTTTACTTAATATATTATCATGAATATTATACAGCATAAAACTTTCTAATAACTACTTACTACCAAATAAGGTAATAGGAACTATATAAATTAAATCCACCACCACAGTAAGTTTTTTTAAACAACAAAGTCATGCTAATTGCATTACTTTAACACAAACATTTCTTAGGACCATGGAATTCAGTAAGTCCTCAGTGACTTTATTATCTTGAAAAGATCTGAACAATTTATGACTATTTTATATACTTTTTAATATACTTTTATATACTATTTTATATACTTTTGAAAATCCATCTAGAGGTATCTTTTTGGCTCGCTGAAAATTTTCCTGTAACAAATTTTAAAAATGTTGTTATTTTGCTACTATTGACAAAAAAATACTGCTTTCATGAGCTATGTTATTAATAAAATAAGCATTATGTGCCCCTTGATTGTATAATTTTTCTCTGAAATCCACAAAATACTAATTTGCATTTTCATTTTAATGTCCTGTGGTAGTTTCAAAGGATTTTGTAACAACAGCCTCCCAATTCAGTCACCAGCTCTGAAGTGTGCTGTATAACTGCAGACTGCAACTCACAGAAGAGCATCTAAGGAGACTGCCTTGAGACAAAGCCTTTACCACACTAGGAGGATCAGGGAAGGGCACAGGGTTCTACAATGGCTAACACCCTCTCTCTTGAGTACTACAGAAGGGCTTTTAAATAATTAACTTTAACCTGAAAATTGAGAATGGAGATTTGAGAGGTATGCCTGATGCCACTGCCATCACTAAGGGCTTCCTTAGTAACAAGAAGCCAATGGGGCTGGGGATTTAGCTCAGCGGCAAAAAACGCCTGCCTGGCATGCGCAAGGTCGTGAGTTCGGTTCCTGGTACCGGGAAAAAAAAAAAAAAAGAAGCCAATTCTTTGTTCCACCGTTTTTTGTGCTTATAAAAACTATTTAAATCAGGGAAATTCACCTCTACCCTGATCTTTGGACTCAATTTGGTGCTCCACATGTGTTGGCTACTTCTACAGGCTTTATCAGTTCCCTGAACTCAGCAAGAACAAAAACAAGAATGTCCTACAATAGGAGATGGACTGCAGTGTGAGGGATGCAGAGCTTCTACCTCCTTACCTTGCAGTAGCATGCCCCACCCCCCACAACAGAAAAGCCACCTGACAGTTGCATGGGGGAGTAGACAAAGAAGAAAACCTTTACCCTTAAAAATTCAAGATACAATTCAAAATATACAACTCTATGGTTTCTACTGTACTCACAGATACGTGCAGATGTCACCAACTGTAGATCATATCTTCATCACCTCAATCTTGTACACCTTAGCTTTTAACTGGCTCCTGGACCCAAGCAACCACCAGTCGTCTATGAACTGGACACTTTCACTTCATGTGAAAGGAATCCTACATGGTCATTTTAAACTAGCGTCTTTCACTTAGCAGGCTTTAAAGGCTTGTCCACATTGTAGATCAGTGTCTATCAGTATTCTACTCTTTTGTAGCCAAATAATATAGTATTGATTATCTGGGTATGTTTTGTTTATCCATTCATCAGTTGACATTTGAGTTGTTCCCATGTTTTGGCTGTTGAAAGAGTAATGCTCATGTAGACATTCATCTTTAAGTTTTTGTATAGACAAATACTTTCATTTTTCTTGCATACATACTTAGAATTGCTGGATCGTATGATGACTGTTTAATCCCTTGAGGCTTTGCCAAACTGCTCCAGGGTGAATGTACCACTGTCATGCTTTCTAAGTGTATTAAGCCTGCAATTTCTCTGCATCCTCGACTTCCTATTCAATGGAATTCTTAATTCTTAATCAAGTAGTATCTCATTGTGGTTCTGATTTGCATTGTCTAATGCTTTTAGATCATTTATATATTTCCCTTAAAGAAATGGCTAGAGACCCTTTGTCTCTGTTGTGAGTTCCTTGAGTAGTAAAATACACATACCCGTCTAAACATAAATCCCTCACAAGGTACAAGTAATCTGAAATTTTCTCCCATTCTGTCAGTTGACTCCAAGTGTTTTTTGATGATGTCATGTGAGCACAAGCTTTAATTTGATGAAGCTCTATTTCTTTTCTTTTAGTATTTCTGCTTTAATGCCAGCTAGGTCGTGATTTATTTCTTCCTAGTAGTTTTATAATTTCAGGTCTTATATGCAACCCATTTAAATTTTATTATGTTGTGTAAGCTGAAGGTTAAATTTCATTCTTTTTCATTAGACTATTCAGTTGTCACACCATTTGTTGAAAAGGCCACTCTTTCCCCCATGGAATGGTTTTGGGACCCTTGTTGAAAATCAGCTGACATAGTTTTCTTTGTGGACTTGGTACGTGCTTTCACTGATCTATCTTTTGCAGTAGCACACTGCCTTAACACCGCTATATAGCAAGTTTTAAAATTAGGTTGTGTGAGTCTTCCTCTTTTCCTTCTTAGATTAATCTGGCTACTTTGGATCTGTTGCAATTCCACATTAATTTTAGAATCAGCCAGTCAATTTCTACAAGTTAACTGCAAGTCTAGTAGACCTGACTCTGTAGATCATTTTGGGGAATACTGATGTCTGAAAACTAAGTCTCCTAACCAATGAATATGGGACGTTTATTTAAATTTTCTACTTCTTTACAAAATATTTGTAGTTTTCAGTATGTGAAGTAGCTGGTATGAGCAAGAAACAACTTCTAAATTTTGATGGCTTCATTTTTCATTACTAATGCAGTGTCACAATTTTAAAATAAAATTATAGGGAAAACTATACAAATACCTCTATTAAAACAGTGTTATTACCATTTTGGTTTGTATCTCTCCAGACTTTCCTATGTACATATATAAGAAATATGGGAACAGTAATAACAGAAATCTCAAGCACTAAGTTCCAGGTACTATTCTAAAGCTTTATGTAGCTAAATTCACTTATTCTTTACAGCATCTTGGTGAAAAAGGCCACTGTTATTACCCCATGCGATTTTTTTTTGTTTTTGTTTTTGTTTTTTTTCCAGTACCGGCAATTGAACTCATGACCTTGACCTTGCCGGGCAGGCGCTGTGCCACTGAGCTAAATCCCCAGCCTTGCTCCATGCGATTTTAAATAAATTCACACTATATGTATCTTCTTTTTAAAATTTAACATATTATGGATCTATTCACATTAAAAAAAAAGAGCCAGTCATCTCTTTTGGTTATCTTCACAGCATTTTATAATTTGGATATTAGTTTAACCAAACTTAATTGGTAAGCATCTAGACTGTTTTTGCAATTGTAGCTGTCATTCTATCACTAAACATCTGTAAATATTGCCCTTCATGCTGGATCAGTTATTTTCTTGGGATAAGTTGCCAGAAGTGGAGTTCCTAGTTCAAAGAACATGCATATTTCAACTGCAATACCCATTATTAAGAAGTTTGTCCTACCAGACCTAGCATGAGCACAAGTACAGCACTGACTAGTAATATTGTGAATAACAGTCAATTTGATAGGTAACAAACCAGTGTATCATAATTATTATTACTGTTGAGGCAGAGAATCTTTTTATATATGTAATGATATATCGTATTTCTTTAGCCAGCGTTTCTGTGTAAGTACTGCACACTAACCAGCTGTGCCACTGGAGCTCCTTTGGCCAGTGTTTCTATTGAACATTTTATTTTTCTTAAATTGTGACAATTCTTTGTATTGAGAGAATTAATCTTATATTAAAGATGAGTTGTATTGCTTATGATTATTTTCGTTACCTTAGAACTTTTTGTTGCCAAATCTATTTATTAGTCTTAGTTTCTGCCTTACGTGTCCTGCTTAAGATTTTTATTCCCAAAATACATGCTTATGTTTTCTCACAGTATATATATGACTCAAAATATATTCTAAACATGTAAACTTTTAAATCTGGTGACTTTTGCATGTGATATGAGGTAGATACATAACTTTATTCTTTCCAAATCTACTTATATCCTTTTATTTAAAAGCTTCTACTTGGAAAGCTGTTGTTTCCCCTTACTCAGTCCTACAACCTTTTGAAATACCTTGCTGGCCCATCAACCATTTGGAGGTTTTAATATTAGTGGGTTAAGAACAGTTTTTCATTGGGCTGTTTTACTTCTTGAGCACTAAGAGCAAGTGCCCCTGACTCCTAGTTCTATTTTCCCTCTAGCAGTTTCTATACTCCTAAAGGACACTTCGACTTCTTTCCAGTTAGTACTATCTCACAAGAAACTAATAAACACCAGCCCTGCTCTAAAGCCATTCCACCTCCAAGGTATCCTTGGGTGTCTGGAAATTCTTAATATAAAATTCAAAACTCTTTATCATAGCAGAAAGCTGTTTAACAGTGTACCAAGGCCCTCTGTGACCTATCTAAGTCAACAGTAAGTAATCACTGTTGGTCAGTTACATATTTCTCATTCTAGAGTCCACTCTTCTCTGGTATCACACTGAATTACTAAAACACCAGCTTCACATAACTGGATACAAGTGGTATTTGAGTACACAAGAACAAACGTATTAGTCAGATTTCTTTATTGCTAGTGTCCATTACCAGGTACAAAGAGAACTAAAATAAAAAGAGAGAAGTGAATGGTAATGATATAGGAAATACTCTATATTTTTAAAGTTCTGCTGCAAATGATCTTGCAGAAAAATAGATACTGCAGTATTTCACAAAATGCTGAGACTACAGTGGGGAATAAATTTATTAAATTCATAAAACAATTTAAATATCTAAATTCAAATCTTTGTTTTTTAGAATATATTTTCAGAATTTATCACAATCGAAATGTTATTTCATGGCAAAGCGTTAGAGGTCTACACTGCTGCCTATCAAAATATACAAAAGATTGATGAAGATGAAGATTTAGAGGTAAGACTACCTAAGCACAATTCTTCTATTAATGTGGGAACATTTAAAAGAGGGCATTAACTAATACAGGTAAAAGTATCTTATACACTACAATGCTTTGTTATTGTGCTGTGCTAAATACCTGAATTTTTGTGATTTTTCCATTACTTTCATTTAAAATTTCAAATCATAATTAAAGTCCCAGGAGCTAATGATTTATAGCTACAGAAATATAATCTACACAAAGCCGTTACATGACAGAAGTGGTGTGTCGTTTTGACTGGGTGACATAGCCCCACTAAGGCGAGCTACAAATAATGGACATTTACTGATTTAAACAACTGAGTATTCATGCCATGCACAACGCCCAAAGCTCACATGCATTTTCTTAACCCTCACAGGAACCTGTAACAGCAGCACCTAACCTAAAAGATTCCTGCTGTCACTCTTTTAGGAAAGAAACAAGCTTGGAAGCTTTAAACGTTTTATCTGTGACCACCCAGTCAGTAAATACCAGAATAAGGATTCCAACCAGTTTTGTGTAACTTGATTATTACAGTATGTAATAAATACAAATTTATGCAGACTTGCTTTGTAGGAAGGTAGGTTTGTAGGAAGGACTGTAGATGGGTTTGTAGGTACAGGTTTGTGTAGGTTAAATGCAAGTAAGTAGGTTTATGTAGTTTTAGTTAAATGTAAATGTAGGATTATGCAGGCTTTCCTTGTGCTAAATTTAAGTAAAATAGAAGTTAATGAAAGTAAGTATCAAAGCCTAGTTTTCAGGAAGCCCATGTGAAGTTAATGTCCTACCTTCTTAATCTTCTATAAGAAAAAAAGGGTACATGAATATTTTTGATAAAAGATAAAATATTTTTAAAATATTTTGTCCATATATAATCATCTCTAATGTGAAAGTTTTAAAAACTATGAATTCCCAAGTTACAACCAGAATTCTATACTAATAAATGATAGAATTTGAGTCCAGAATGGTGGTACATGCCTGTAATACTGTACCAGCACTATGGGAGGCCGAGGCAGGAGAAGTGCAAATGTGATCCCAGCCTAACCAACTTAGAAGACCTTATTTTAATCTTTTTTTTTTTTTTTTTTTTTTTCTGGTTATTTAGTTCAAAGGCCCTGGATTCAACCCCCAGCACTGCACCAAATTTTTTTTTAAAAATAAAAATAAAAAACATTTTGGGAGCATCTGCCATTTGACAATTTTGAAGATTCTTCCAAATTCTTCTGCTTCTTTAACTACTGATAAAGAAACCTTCTGAGTCTTTTTGTTCTACGACTCCCCTAGTTTGTTAGAAACTTAATTAAGTTAGAACATAGCCTAACTAAAATACTGCCAATGTCTTATTATGTGTATATATGCTTTCAATGCCAAATTGATTTGTCAGTTGTATATATTTTGTTTGCCAACAGGTGACTATCACCTTCAAATACTAATTCTTAATTTTCAGTCCTTTTCATATCATGTGTTAAAACCAGATTATCAAGCTTTTATCTGCCATTCATAAAATAAAATAGCAAATGTTCAGTGATTATTTGGGGCTGATCTAAGCATTTTAACCATGCTTAGTAGTCCTCACATCAACTTTAATAGAAGTGCTTACTATCCTCATTTCTACAGATGAGAACACTGAAGGATAATGAAGTTAAAATAGCAGAGCTCACAGTCAAATTCTGTTATCTGACTACAATGCTGACTTTAATCCTTTCTACATGAGACTAGTACAGTTTGACATGAGTGAGTTGGCAGGTTCAAAAGTGATCCCCCAGTTTTCCTACAAGACTGGAACCTCCTTTGCGTATTTTTAATCTCATTCCTTGATAGGCCCTTTGTTAACTCCTGCTAAATTTCCTTCAAGCCTTTTGGTCCATTAAGATTTTTCTTCTCATCCAGAGGCTTTAGGTGTCTTTCTTGTCACACTATTTTTTTTTTTTTTTGGTACTAGGAATCAAACTCAGGACCTTGCACTTGCCAGGCAGGCACTTGTGTCACAGAGCTATATCCCTGCCACTACTTCTTTTATAACTTTTCTTACCATCTGTCTTAAATCAGTGAGACTGGTTAGGTACTTTACTAGAGGTAAGATCCATGAAAAACTAAAGGTCTCAAGGCTATGTGGTATATACATTTTTGAACATCAACTTCTTACCAGGGAGTTCTGACATTTAAAAAATATTGTGTACCTATTTAAGTTTTATACCATCAGCCCCATTTTTTAAAAAAAGTGTCAGGCATGGTGGCACACATCTGTAATCCCAGCACTCGAGAGGCTGAGGCATGAGGATCTCTGTGAGTTCAGAGCCAGCCTGGACTATAAAGTAGGTTCAAGGCCAGCCTGAACTGCACAGTGAAATCCTTCTCAAAAAGACAGCAACAACAAAAAAGAACCTTGAAACAATGAGGGTGCCTGGCAAAAACTTTCTGGCACAGAGCATACTTTTATGCATAAAAAGAGCAATGTATTCTAAACAGCATAGTGCAGGGCACAAGCACTTTTTTGATTAACCACAGGCATCCAGCAGCTGACCAGAGCAGAGCAGAGCAGAGTAGAGTAGTGGGACCAAGGGAAATAAAATGGTATCTAGTAGGTCTCAAGAGGAAGGATTCTGTGAATAAACATTTCTTAGACACAAGTGGAGAAAATTTGCAGAGAAAGAGCAAGAACTGCTATCCTTTCCAGTAGTCCATGCTTCATGAGAACCACTGATATTTATTCCAGCAACAGCCAACTTTTTGCAAGGCATTCTAGTTATATTTCAAACCATCTTACCTTATTTGTTCTTCACATAAAAAGTACTGTCAGGCCCATTTTCCCCTTCAAAAATCACTTCTGTGCAATCATTTCAAAGAATATTCAGATCTTGACATTCATTCCTAGGAGAGATCTTGGATTATGTTGGAAAAATGCATTATTGCCAATAAATTATTATTTCTGTAAATCTGTTTTGCAGTAAGAGGTTAATTTTAATAAGTAATTTTTTTATCCAAAGAGTTTAACACTGTCCATTTTCTATTTATTTCACCTAGAAAAGTTTAAAAAGGACTGTTGAAACAAAAAATATAATCCCTTCAAAATACAAGTTGATTCACGCATGAGTCAGGTATGACGACACCATACCTGGATGCCAGTGTACTATGGTTAGTGTCAAAATAGGATTTGATCCTTATTAACCTGCTGACTTTATCAATGGATTGTCCTAAAACACAAGTCTCGCCTCCTACATGTTATCCCTTGATTCCTTTTATGTCCTGCAGGTCTCCAAGATTCAAACCAATCGTAAGGTATTTTCCCCCCTACAACATGGAGACTGCTAGCGTTAACATTCATTGGACAGAACGCCTTCTGTTGGGAAGAGGTGCAAAGATCAAACAGGGTTCCTTATATTAGAGAAACCTAATACTAGTTTCGAAAGTATATTATTTCATTAAAAAGTAGTATAACAGCTACCCTTGAGGGTATTAGCATTAGAACTACTGACTACAGAACAAGGAAAATGAAAGACAGCATGTGACTTGGTTCTTAAAGGATCAGTAAGTTGGCTGGGATCCCAGGCTGAGGAACCAGCATTCATACAGTAGAGTGGTAGATAGTCTGAGTGATCTTAAGCATTGGACGTTTTCTATACCACTTGGACTCTGGTAGCCACAAAAAGTTTTCTTTAAAAAAATAAGAGAAACATTTTGTTCTTTAGTAAAGTATAAAGAAAAGGCCAGGCATGCTGGCACACACCTGTAATCCCAGCACTCGGAAAGCTGAGGCAGGAGGATCACTGTGAGTTCAAGGCCAGCCTGGGCTGCAAAGTGAGTTCAAGGCCATATAGCTTTGTGTACAATATAAAACTGAAGCTCTCTGCGGCACTGTCCAATATGATGGCAATACAGCTAGTAGGTATATGTAATTATTTAAGATTATACATATAAATCACATTTCAAGTATTAAGTACCCACATGTGACCACAGCTACTTTTGGTCAGCAGAGAACATCTCCACCATCTCAGAAAGTTTTATTCATACTGGCCTAGAACAAAAAAGTTGGAAGCATGAATACAGGTGTCAGAACAAAGTATGTGGAGTATACAGAGTATTGGCTGGTTGAAAAGTAAGCATTAAATACTATAGATAAAATCTTTCAGAGAAACAGATTTTTTTTTTAAAGTGGCCTAAGAGAAACCCTTAAATTATCTCAGGTGTAAGCAGTAGGAAAAAAGATATAAAGAACAGGCCAGTCAGCAATGAAGTAGTTTAGTGATAGCATAAGAAAAAGAGGTTTGGGGAAGATGAAGACAAGATTCTGTTAATTTTGGCAAGAGCAATTTTAGTGTAAGGTGAAAGCCCAACTGAACTGTGTTGAGAAAATTAATCAAAATATCTGAGAACTTCTAAAGAACTTATACTTCCGGAGTAATTTTTTTTTAAAAAAAGGACTGATCTTGAGTTTATCTAGAGAAGTGAATCTGGAAAATGGAAATTTTTCTTTATATGTTTGACATTTTAGCTAAAGGAAAAATGCACACTGGAAAGGATCAGAATGATACTTGCATTTTTTTTAAAAAGTGATGAGATGAACAATGAGGAAGAGGGAAGTTCAAATAAACTCAAGCCTACTAACCCGTATTAGTCAAAATGTTAAGAGAAATAGACAAGATAGAAAAAGGAAGGCTTCCGACAGTGGTAAGACTTGAAAATACCGCTTTACGGAAAAAGAACTGGCAGATGGCATAATGAAGTCACAAATTACAGTGGCTCCACATTATTCTTACATGATTTTCCATCTCTAATTTTAGACTACTTTTGTACTTTTCTCCTTTTCAATCTATAATAACTGGAATTTTGTCCTTTAGGATAGAGGGTTTACTTAAAAATTTTAACCAACAGTAATTTATTTTGGCTATACAGATTTTCATTTAATATCTACCTTATCATGTTTTTTTACCTCTGCAATAGGTTTTCCGAAATTCTCTGTATCCACTAGATTATCCATCTCGTTTAGATATTGTAAAAGCAAATTCCAAGTCACCTCTTCAACGATCACTGTCAGCCAAGGGTGTATCCGGAACCGGACAGGTGAGCTAAAAACCTTAACTTAGGAATTTGAGTTGCTGCTCTTGGAATTGTTCAGTACAGTTAAAAATGCTTCCCTTCAGTCATAGGATCTCATGTAATTTACACCTGATGTTTCCCTTCAGTCATAGGCTCTCATATAATTTACACTCAACAGGCCTTCTTCCTCTTCAGTAAAATGAGGGAAAGCTGCACTCCATTATTTTCTATCTCTTATGCTATAAGAGATAGAAAATTACACCCATTACTCCTTTAAGCAGAACACTTGAAACAGAAGTGGAAAAAACAGAAAGCTAATGTAATTTGTTGTCTGGTAAATGAAAGAGCATAGATTGTGAAGTCAAATTAGTTACGAGTATTACTAATTAATGGATCTATCCAGAAATTATATATAAAAAAATCACTTTTATTTTCCAGTCATGGATCCAGGAGCACAGCTCTTTCTTTAAAGAAAAATAATTTTCTCATTTCTTCTGTACTGAGAAAGCCTGAGGCAGGCTGAACCATAACATACCAAACTGTAACCTAGAGATCTATGACCTTTTCGTATCTAGCCTTCAGAATTTAAAATTATCAAAACATGATTTTTAGACATATTTAATACTTGATTCTCTTCTAAGCATTCATTTTCTGCTTTATAATGATTTTATCTTCCCCCAACCAAATTTATTATTTCAGAATTAACTAAAATAAAATTAGCATTATAATACATATAAAATTTTAACTATTTAGAACTAAATGTTACCTAAATTAGCTAACATTTGTATACCATTTTAGAATACATTATCCTTGGGTTTTTCAGCTTCAGGTCTACTGAATTGGGACCAGGTCCCTGGGGGAGGGGGGCATGGGGAAGCGGGATGCTGTCCTGTATAGCATTGAGCAGCACCCCAGCTGCTACCCACAAGATGCCAGTAGCACACACAAACACAGCTGTGACAACCATCAGCGTTTCCAGACAGTATCAATGTCTCCTTAAAGAGTAAACCTTGGAAAGGGGAGTTGCATCCTTAGGTTTTAAGCAAGACGTCCCAAGTGCACAGGACAGAAAGCTGGTGAATTAAGATTTTTAACTTATTCCATTTAAAGCAGACTACTTCTGTATCGGTACTTCTGTTCTATTGCTTAGCTGAAATATTCTGTTTTTGTTCTGCTCATTCAAATACTATCTTTGCAACCAAAAAATTAATTTTTTAATATTCATAATATACTGAGACCAAGTTTTGTTACTGAAGTACTGGTAGCTAGTTAACTGGAATCACACGGTTAATTTTACATACATAATGAATGAAAAAAATACGTTTGCAACCTTTAAACATAATCATCCACTGGGAATTTTCGTTACTATGAATTATGTATGGACATTTTTCTGAAATTTGTTCTATATGCCTTTTCCTATAAGGACATAAAAAAGATACCAAGCATGTAAAAATATTTTTAAGTTAGTATTTTTTATTTTTAAAAATGTGTTCATTTAAAAAAAAAATGTTCATTTTTAACAGGTATCTACCTGTCGATTAAGAAAGGATCAACATGCAGAAGACGATGAAGATGAAGAGGTAGACTTTACAGAAGAAGAAAATTAATTTTAAGTTAATTTCCAATGTCCATTTTTCATCTTAAATGACTTGGAAACTTTATACTCACTTGACAGGTTAAACCTCAAAACAAAAATCCTACAAATGCAAAAATAAAGGAAATTTATGCTGACCAAAAATTAAGGTTTTAAAAAATAATTTCAACATCCTAATGGTATGATTTTTTTCATGTAAATTCCATTTTTTACAAAAAGATTATACATTTCAAAGCACTTCATAATACACTGTATTTAGTTGAGTTGCAATAAGAAGGAACTAAAAACAAAAGATTTAATTCCTCTTAGCTTCTTCAACATTAAGGCTCCATGTTTTCAACATCAGAAAAAAATCTGATTGCATACAAATTCTATTCCATGAAACTTTAAGAGCTTTTTTCTTTTGTACCTTTATTAAAACCTTATTTCATTTGACATGTAAATTTACTGTTTTCAACAAGAGTGTACTTGAATAAAAGAAATGAGGAATTATATCAGGTTTTATAAATACACATAAAGCTTAAATTTTAAGCTTAAAAACAGTTCACATTCAACTTGATACTGGCTTTAAAAAAACTGCTGTCATACTAAGTCACCATATATGGTACTGTAAATTAGAAAGCTAGTAATTTATTGGAATGTTGCCTCATTATGGAACAAAGATTATTATTAAAACTGTAAAAATTTGGGCAACCTATCATCTTGATAATAAAAGAGTATACACAGCCACTCTTAATAACAAAACAATTTAATCAAAGCTTTCATTGTATCTGACGCTTCTGTTTCTTTTGGTGAGGAATTAATACTTCTGTGACTTGGTGGATCCCACTCAGATACAGGAAAACTGAAATTTATAGTCATTTGGGATAACTGGAAAAAGCAATTTACTGTATTCACAACAGGAAATAAAGACTTTCTAGAAAGCGTTTTTGACTTGTCATTCACGCTTCTGTTTTTAACAGAGTACTGCTTCCTGAGAAGAGTGCTGATAATTTTATAAAATACTCAAAACATTTTTTCTTCCTTTTTTCTTTTTTGGTACCAGGAATCAAACTCACGACCTCACACTTGCGAGGCAGGTGCTTCTGCTGCTGAGCTAAATCCTCAGCCTTCAAAACATTTTAAAACTTTAAATAAGCTGCCACTTTTAAGAAACTAGTTTTTACTTTCTCATTATTTAAATCTGGTGTTGAAGTTTAGAGGAAAAAACAGGGTTATAGTATTTTTCTTGTTGCCTACTATATGTAACTTCTCTTAAGCAGCAGATGCCTCATCTATAAAGTTAAAACAGTACCTTAAACAATCAACAGGTAATTCTGCAATGAAACAAACATATTTTTCCTACTACAAAGAAATATCCTAAAATCAAAAGAAACACTATCAGTAAGAATTATTTTCATCAATGTAATTCTTTCACTATTTAGAACAGACTTCAGTTGGCATACTTACTCAAACAGCCAGATGGTAAATATTCTACACTTTGCAGCCCAGGAGGGACAATCAAGATAAGATTATTACATGGGTACTTATGTAATCACTTAAGATGTTATCACATTTTAAAACATGAAAACCAGTCTTAGCTTCCCTGCTGAAAAAAATAAGAAACTAACCCAACAAGTTACTTAGCCTGTATATCTCCATCTCTTATCTCCAAAATAGGAATGAAATAAATTAAGATTTATCAACATTAAGTGATAATTCATATATTAGACCATAAATAGAAATGTAGTATCTATTACAACTCAATAAACAGTATTTAAAGCAAAGACAGGCAACAGGATTACTGCTTAATAGGTAACAAGTAATAGATACTGCTTTTAATGTTCTTCATAAACAGGTAAATTCACTCCTGTCTTTCACTTACTATTATCTCTTGATTATGGGATTAACTTTACTTTCTATACAATATCTAATATTTTTCAGGTACCTTCTAAACAGAAATGTTTGACTTTATGACAAAATACCATTGGGCATCAAGCTAAAGGACCAATATACTTCCATATCTGCAGGCAGAAGAAAACCTTATGAGATTAACAATTATTTAAAATAGATGACAAGCACAAGAGGATTTAATACACTTTCTCTTTTATGTGTTTAAAATTGTGTATGCTGATAAATGATTCTGAGTTGATGCAGGGAAGGGAATGCCTACTGTGCTGGATCTAACAATGTACATGGTGTATATATTCCCACCATGGCCAATTTGTCAGTGTCACTGAAGAAGTTGTTGGAAAGAGATACACAAAAATGGCCTCCAACCAGCAGAAGCCAGCTTACTATAAGAACTTTTAAATGAAGTTAAAAAGTATTAAGTCCTAATAGATTTTGAAGTAAAATATTCGTATCATTTAAAAATCAAAACACAGAGCTTGTATCTACCATAGATGGCCTTTTATCTGCACCATCTCTACCCAGTTTGAGAAACAAACACTTTAACTTATCTATTACTTAAGCTTCACCTTATCTTCATTGCTATGAACTGTATCTGAAGTATTTTTTGAGTCTTCCATCCATATCTCAAAGTTCGATCAAATGAACCATCTACATGAAGCAACTACAAATACCATTTCTTGCTAACTTGCCACCTCTCCTTAGCCTGCTCTATAGCCTCTAGGCTAGGGTGCACTTTTGTTTTTCCTATTTCACTTATTTTTTAAGTTTTTACTAGGCCCAAACTGCAGAGCCAGTTTCGCCCTTAGTCTACCTCTTTAAATTTTTCTACCTTGAGTAAAGTGCAAGTGAAAAAAAAAAAAATACCATTTCTCCTTTTGTTCAATGTGCTTAGTTTAGATATTGCAAAGCTTATCATTCTCCTACTTTAAGTTTACTATTTTAAAGAGTCATACTGAGGTGCTTTTTAAAACCAAATATACCATTTTACTCATTCTACTAGTAAGCAGGATATTGATTTTTTTAAAAATTAAGTAGGCTTCTCATAGATTTCTTTAAATCACTGAAAATTAAGATATTGGTAGGTACTAAGTACCAAAAAAGTACATTCCTTCACCAATATCCTATTATTAAATTACTAAATTACCAAATACAAATTCAATTTTAAGCCAGACATGGTAGTGCAAACCTACAACCCTAGCACTCTGAGAGGCTAAGGAAGCACGATCACAAATTTGAGCCCAGCCTGAGCAAATCAGCAAGATCCCCATCTCAAAAACAAAAAGAAATGTGTTTTATGCTTGTTTACTCATTATGGGAAATCTCTGGATCAAAGAATTGAGGAAAAAAATGTGTTCTATACAAACTATAAAAGGTCAAAGTCAAACCACACTGGGTAAAATGAACAACTAAATTCGAAGCCAATGTATAATGTCTCCTAAGAGAAACCCTGGATCTACAAAACTTTTAAAGCCACCTTTTCTTTTAACTATGTTTGAGCACCCTAGTTTTATCTTTTTTAAATGACAGACTTAAAGTGAGAATAAAGAAAACCACTTATGAAAATATTTTTAGCATGGTCTTAATTGAAAACACCACTTAACAAAATGAAGCAGCAAAAGTATTAACAGCATGAACAGGAATCAGTGGAATGTTTGAGTTGAAATTGCCTCCATACTTAACTGACTTCAGGCAGGTTGCTTCACTTCTCTAAATTCAACATTATCTCATTTGTGAAACAGAAGCTAGTAAGTCATTAACTACTTAGCATATACTAAGATCATGCATATGAAACACTTATAGTGTCTAGTACACAGTGCCTCATAAATGTGAGTCATTTGTATGATTATAAGTAAAGAAAGGTTTCCAGTATTTGCAGAACATCTACATTAAGTATTGAATATCACTAAAGAAGTAAAAATTCAACCACACAAGCCTTATACTTCATATCTGAATAAAGTTTTGATGCTGAAGTATCATAAGAACCTAATAATAAACATACAAAATATAGGACTCATCAGTAAACTCCTCGTAGAAAAACAAACTATATCCATTTGTCACATTCTTAATAGCATAAAAGCCTGAGTTTCCCTTCACCCATAATAGCATTCTTACTGTTCTGAATATTTTGTATTAATCCTACCTGGTTACTAAAATGTTAAAGAACCCATACAACTATGCAGTATTATGGCATAATGGTCCTTCCCATCATAATTTAGTTTAATGTACTACTGAAAAACTTTATACCCAGCTCCAATTTTTTTCTTTTTATACAAATACAAGTTAATTAGTCTATTCAGTTGCAATTTTTTATTATAAAATTTTGCAAAGTTATGAACATGGAAACTAAATTTCCTAAGCTTTTAACATAGGTAAATTTCAAAATTCACAGTCTGTCCATTTTGACTATAATTAACAGGAGATTTAATGCAGTAATATCTCAGACAAGAGAGCATCAATTCTGCAGGCAGGTAGCAATGAAAATGCCAAACCTGAACAATCAGCCACTGACCATTTCCTTATACAGTTTCAGTAAAAGGCATTGACTACAGAAAGAAATAAAAGTGAATATGAAATGTATCTTCCCCAAATACAACTCTGCAAGTCTTTGAGGTTTACGCATAACAGCAACAAAAACTAGGGAACTCAGGGAATTAGTTCCTGCTGCCCTAACAAAGAAAAATACAGCATATATAATTTTAAATTAGAAAGAAAATGAACAGCAATTTGCAAGCAAAAGAAAAACAAATTCACATTCTATTTACAGTTTTTCTATTCACAGGTCAAAATGAAAATGTTTAAAAATAACACTTTTTTTAAAATGCATTTTACTGCATCAACACTGTGGATAAGAAGTGAACTCAGAAATGTTTTCTACAGCAAAATGAGCTTAACCTTCCGGGGACCAACTGGCCTATCATTAAGATCTTTAATAGCAGCCATAGCTTCATTATAGTTGATCATAGCAACAATGGCTTCCCCTGTAGGTAAACCTTGCTCATTATACTGTATGGAAACTGAATCGGGTATGATTCTGTAACCATGGAAGAAGTCTAAAATTTCGTTTACATTTGCTTTAAATGGAAGATTCATTATCTTAACAGGAGTTACTCTACCTGAACCACAATTTAATTTGGGATCAGGCATAAATCTACCTTCAGGAAAACCTCCCATATTACGCTTTCCAAAATCGAACTTGCCACCTTCCGGGCGACCAAAATTCACAAAAGGGCGATGACTTCTAAAATCCTCAGGTGGGCTCCTAAAATCCTCACCAGAAGGTCGGAAATTGTCAGGAAGTCCAAGATCCTCCTCTGGAACTTCTCTGAGGTCTTCCTCAGGGAGCTGCCTGAAGTCCTCATCAGAAGGGCATCTAAAATCTTCTTCCTGGGGGCTCCTGAAGTCCTCATCAGGAGGGTGCCTAAAGTCTTCATCAGGAGGGCCCCGGAAGTCATCATCTGGCATATTCCGGAAATCCTCCTCTCTGGAACGCCTGAAATGTTCCTGGGGCAGTCTTCGGAAGTGCTCCGGGGGTGGCCTCCGAAAGTGCTCCGGGGGTGGCCTCCGGAAGTGCTCCGGGGGTGGCTGCCTGAAATGCTCAGGAGGTGGTCTCCTGAAATGCTCCGAAGGTGGTCGCCGGAAGTGCTCCTGGGGTGGCCGTTTTAAATGCTCCATGGGTGACCGCCTGAAGTCTTCTTCAGGGGAATGCCTGAAATTCTCCTGGGGGGGCTTCCTGAAGTCCTCCTCCCTAGGGTGCCTGAAGTCATCATCTGGAGGGCACCTGAAGTCGTCCTTCCAAGGGCGCCTGAACTCCTCCTCTGGTGGTCGCCTGAAATCTCCCTCAAGGGACCTCCTGAAATCCTCTTCAGGCGGCTGCCTGAAATCCTCCTCCAGTGGCCACCTCCAGTCCTCTAGAGGCCGTCTCCAGTCATCCTCCCGAGAGCGCCTGAAGTCTTCCTCAGGAGGTCGTCTGAAGTGCTTCTCCCGAGGGTGCCTGAAGTTCTCTGGTGATCGCCTGAAGTCCTCGGGAGGGAACCTGAAGTCCTCCGGAGAGTGCCTGAAGTCTTCTGGAGGGTGCCTATCAGGCTGTCGGAAATATCCCTGGGGGTGCTTGAAGGTACCCTGTTGCCTCAAATCGTCTAGCTGGTATCTAAGGTCTTCAGAAGGACCAACTGAGTAAACGGATAGGTCTTTTGAGTCAAATAAATGGGAATGGTCATCTCTATCACGTGACTGAGAACGGGCTTGCATTTTCTCAGCAGACATCCAGGGGAAATTTACACCAAATTCCTGCATCTGTGCCTCAGATATAAGTCTTAATAATACCTCTGTCCCTAAGAATCTGCGTCGGTTTAAACGTTCAGCTTTCATGGCCTGTTCTTCTGATTTAAACTTCACCAATGCTTCTCCCAGACCAACTCCTTTGTCATCATAAAGCAGGTAAATGTCATCCTCAGCAAGAGAAAAGTCTGCAAAGAATTTTTGCACTTCAACTTTTGTAACATCAAATGGAAAATTTCTTATATATATGCACAGCTTCTGGCCAGAGTAGCCTTCTTGGGAGTATTTCTGTGCAACATGTCCAGATCTCTCTTTCTCTATTGACCCCGGTCTCTTCTTTTCATAACATTCAATGAACTTCAGCATCTGTTTTTTAGAAACTGGATCAATATGAACTGGACGATGTTGTAAAACAGTCTTATGGAAACCCAGAGCAGTATTATAGTCTTTCAGAGTCTTGAAAGTCACAAAGGCATATCTTGTTCTTTTTTCATCTTTATATAAAAACCTAATTTGTTCATTAGCCAGATCAATATCTCTAAAGAAATTTCTTAAATCTCTTTTGCTAACGTTTAGGGACAGATTTTTTAAGTGGACATAAAATCCAACAGGGGAACGAGAACGTGTTCTTCTGGGAGATTTTGAATGAGACCGTTTTCGAAAATGTCTATCATTAACTCCTCTTGGAGGGGAATGTCCTTCAGCTCTCATAGGAATTTCACCTTTTTTAACTGCATCTCCACCAAACTCAATCCACTGTTGTTCTGAGCCCTGCATTACTTCTATAAATCTTGAACCCATAAAACTTCTATGGCATTTAAGACCTCCTGAAGCATCAATACATGAAGCAAATTTTACTATGGCATCACCATTATTTCGGCCATCATGATGTTTTAAGAAAATTACTCCATCCACACACAAACCAGAAAAAAAGACACGTACATCATCTTCATTTACTAAGTAAGGCAAACCTCGTAGAAATAAGTAAGGATTCTCAGCCTTCGATGGCCTTGTCTTTCTTGGCCTTAAATCATCAAGTCCTGTACCATTAGTATGAAACCCGGCATCTTGGTTAATTGAAGAGCCGTATATAGAACTATTTTCATCTTCTTTCATGGCCTCAATATAATTAGATAAGCTGCCAACCCCTGATGCCCCAGATCCGGGTCGCCCTCTTCCTATACGATCAGTTCTTTTCATTTCTATAGTCTTCTGCATTTCTGCCTTGCTACTAAGAAAGAGCTCTACAGATGAATCCTTGATAAACCCTCCTGAGCGACTTATGGCACGTCTTGCATCTTCATCTGTTGCAAAAATAATAAAAGCCTCCCCAATAGCCCCTCCAATTATATGCACTCCTCCATCAGGAATAGTCAATCCCGTGAAGAAGTGACGAATATCCACAGGCCCCGCAATAAAAGGAAGCCCCAGTAAACGGATGACTACAGCCATGCTGAGCTCAAACCACAGCAATAATGACCTGCAGACAAAAAGGTACACATAATAGCAAGTCTTATTTTTGAAGTACCTTAGCCCAAACTAACCTTAAAAATTATCTGGGTTCCTGCTTCCTTCAGCATTTATAAATGAAAACAAGATACAAGTTCACAAAAATACTGATCTTATCTAAGTCTTAAAACAAAGAATAAACTCCCATCTAAACATACAAATAAACCAACTACCTTGAAAAACATTTCGTATCACCCATCCTATACAATAAGAAACATCAAAAATATCAAATCTTCCTTTTTAAGTCTGCCAAATGCTGCTTCACAACAAGACCGAACTACTTTCAGATTCATTTAAAACATGTATCCTACTAGAATGTGGGATTAAAGTCTTTTACCAACCACAGTAAAATTTACAAATTTAGAAAATCCATCTACAGTCATTATATAATTTCTGCTCATGATATTACGTTGCCTACCACTAGTGCATCGCTGGCCAGATATAGAAGGACAAATGCCCTGAGTCCCAGGATATACTAATCCATATCATTTTGTCAAGCCTCTGTGAAAAGCCTTAAGCTCTGAATGTCTTACCTTTTCTTATTTCTTGGACACCTGTTAATTCTGTAAAAGCAACTTAACTGTGGAAAGAAAATGAAATATAATTAATCTTTGAACCTTGTAATTATCTCAATACTCGATTAGGATATTCATTTCAGAATTACCTATCAAAAATTAAGCAACATAAGATCCGTAATTATGGGCATTACAAAATAAGTCTTCTTTGATCCAAGGGGAAATTCATTATCCTTCTACAAAAGGAAATACAAAAATCCAAGAGGACATCTGCAAAGAATTAAAAAATTTAAAAGTGCTGAAGTGATACTACTCCCTTATTAGAAATAGCATGAAGAAAGGCATAGGGGAAATGTACTCTAAGTGCAGCAGTGGTGTGCATGAATGGGTGTATTCAAAACTCAATGCACTTTGTGTATATACAGAAGTTTTACGTTCACTTAAAAAAAAGCTCCAAAAAAATAGTTGTACAACTAAAGGTCAATTTAAAAACACCGAGTATTTTTTAAAAAGACCTTCCATCACTTCCCTCCAAGAAAATCCAGTTACTTCATATTTACATCCAACTCTCTTGCCAGTTCCCTCCCTTTCAAAATATAAGACCACATCAAATAAAGCAACCATTCAAAATAACACGATGAATAAAAACATCTAAATTTGAAATTCCATTACATAAAACTTCCATTTCATAAAGATACAAATCCGAGCCAATGGCTACCATTTCGATTCAATTTTAAACTCTAACTATTTTCCAATACAGAACCAAATTTCACGACTCCAGTACAATTAAACCAAGTACTACAATACCCTAAAATCAAATCTCAACACTATTTATCTGATATTCTTAAAACAATAATTCATCTCAAGCAAAACACAGAATGTTGAAATAAAGACTTATAATGCCAGACTCTTCTGAGGCCAAGTCTATTCCACTTCAAACAACTATGTTGCTCTCAACCGAAGAAACCCAAATAACAATGTAGTGAAGTAAAAATGTCGTTGAAATTCATCAATAGGGAATACTGGGGTTATCAATATTAACTACCGAAAACCTCAATTGAGTATTTTTTTAAGGAAATTTGCATCTAAATACTTTCATGGATACCCAAACTAACAATATTTAAGGAAGTCTTACCAAATAAGACCTGCCAAAATAATAATCAGCATGATTTTAATGTGCAAATAAATGGTGCTTTAGTTCACCACTTACACCTAAGTACCCCTGTTCCACAAAGGGGTCTGAAGACACACTCTTTGAGGTTTGAAAGCTTTGTTTTCCTTTAGAAAGGGCCCGTAAAAGAAACTAAAAGCTAAACTAGCAAAACTATCAAGAAATTACTTTGCACATGCAGCATCCAAAAAATATCTGCACACTACCAAAAGAAAATTTACACCTAATTTTCTCACAAATCAATACCCACACCTAACACTTCAACAAAAACTGTAATTGGCTTCTGGAAAACTTGTGCACCTTTAAATTCCATAAGTCTTATGTTTTTAACTTTTAAAATAGCATTAAGACATATGTCATTTTGTCTGTTTTAAGCTTATTTTTTAAATTTATTTATGTTGAGAACATAAGCTCATCTACAAGCAAAGCAAAATTGAGACATTTCAAGGAACAGTTAATTATGCCAAATCTCAAAAAAAAAAAAAAAACCTCTAGAAACACATCCTAACAAAAACTATCTAAGTATCTTAACTAAAACGATCTTTAAGTTTCATGAGCACAAATCTAGTGATTTCCAATTTAAGCTATTTAGAAAGGTAAATATAACTAATGCATAAACTTCTTTACCCTTCTATGTATCACTTAACACTCTACAATCACACACCCAGAATACCTTTAGCTCTCAAAATGAGCAGGAAGGTCTATAGTTCCAGTATGCTGTTTTGAGATCCTCAAGCAAATTCTCCAGAAATTTGATTAACACAGTATAGAGCACAAAAAGCAGAACACACACACACAAAAGCAAATCCCTGCCCTTAAATTTTTTCTAGTTATGAATGCACTGTTTTCACGCTGTGTAGGTTTAAGGACACAGGGATATGTTAGAACTATGAAAAAAAAGTGGATCCCTAAAAACTCAGTTAAGGGTATGCGCACTAAAAATAACTTTGCTATCTTTATCCAGTGATCATCCCACGTAGTCACCATTTTAACTAAACAACACAAAATGTGCATCTTCTAATCAAGACTGAGAGGTAACGGGAGAGACTGAATTGACGTTATCTCAGATTCGTTTGGCTTTAATAATTAGCAGGTTAAAAGTTCTTTTCCAGAAACTGCGACTCTTACGTCTTGAAACCCAAAGTTACGAAGAAGCATGTTCAAATGCTAAGTGTGAACTTCCCCTGCAAAAAATAACCTACCCAAGTCCAAAATTACTGTGATGATCTGCCTGTTTTAACGGAGATGCTTAAAACAAAAACCGAAGGCAAAATGCAGACGAATCCACACGGCACCGGATTTCCCTTCACATCCGTCATCGTCCAACGGGGACCATCCGAAGGCATCGATTCTACAGCCCCAAGCCTTTGTCCACACACTCCCAGCGGTCAGAGCTTCTTTCTTCTGCGCCAGGCCCAAGTTGCTACGCGGGATCCGATGCTGTCGCCAGACCTTCGGCCAAAATCAGCCTTGAAATTAACCAGAACCGCCCAACCTCCTGCCTCTCGGTCGCGCCGTCCCAAGGGCAAACGCCGCGCCCTCACTGGCCACCGCGGCAGCTGGCCCCGGACCTAACTGCATCCACTTCGCCCCGCAGCCCGGGGGTCCGGGCCTCCGGCCGGCACTCACTACGATGACATAGCAAAGAAAAACGATACCTAGGCAATCCTTCGGGCTCTTCACCGTCAAGATCACGGGCGAGCGCACACGCACCACCGCACGGAGGCTGACGGAAGAGGGAGAGTCGGTGTTTAGCGGGGAACCAGGGCGCCCTCACGGCGGCGGCGACGCCGGCCCCGCCTTCCCGCCTTCCGCCCGGCCGCCAGCCCCTCCCCACCCGGCGCCCGGGGACTGCCGCGCGCTCGGCGGGACACACACCGCGGCTGCCGACTCGGACCCCGGGCCGGGCGCTGGGCGCTCCTCCTCGCAGCGCAGGCAGAGCCTCCAGCGAGCCCGGAGGAAGATGGCGCCCACCCACCCTTCCCGTGCGGACAAACGGACGTACTGTTTGTCTGCCCATGCGCTCTCCCGGCGTAACCGCCCCCACCCCCGCGCCGCGGCCGCGCTTGCGCACCCGCTCGCTCGCCCGCGGCCCGTCGTTAGGGGGAGGGAGGCGACGCCCTGGATTGGCTGAGCTTCTGCGCGTGCCCAGATGCCAGCCAACCCGGGAACCTCCGCAGGGAGGTGAGACTCAGAGGCCGAATTAGGAGTCAATTGGTTCGTGTATTGAAACTCGTCGTGCTGGGCGCGGTGGTGCACGCCTGTAATGCCAGCACTTGGGAGGCTGAGGCAGGAGGACCGTTGCGAGTTCGAGACCAGCCTGGGCTACAAAGTGAGCTCAAAGCCCACCTGAACTGTATTTTGACCCTGCCTCAAAAAAAAAACAAAAAAAAAAAAAAAAGCTGCAGTAGACAAGTGTTAAAGTACACAAAACAAACGTTTGCATTTTTAAGAAGTTAAAGAGCGAGATGTGAAAATAAAAATAGATCTTTTTGTCTTTCAGTGCTGTAATCATTCTGTGGGGTAAGCATCTTCTAAAAGATTCTTGTAAACTAAAAGGCTGTGACATGGTTAATTTTACTGCCTTAGATGTTCCCCACGTATGCAACCAACACCTAGGGGCTTAATAAATGTATGTTTATCAACCTTATAGACATTAATAACTGTGAATTACCTTCATAAATTTGTGGTTCCCATCTTCCAGACTTCTGAAGCAAGAGAACAGATGGACCAGTCCTGGAAATTGAGAAATAACAAGCACAGTGACAGGCATGTGCTATGAGGAGTACTGTCCAACAGCTGGTGAACAACCCTGTGTTTTATTATTTACAATTAACAAAGCAGCCTACCATATTGAGCTATATGGTGCAATTATGCATGGACCCAAAACTCACCAAAAAAGTTATAAACCACATTTGTACAACGTCCTTACAGAAAAGAGGGGGAAAATGTTTGGAGTCCTTCCTTCACTGCGAAACACCAACTCTTAAATTTAATATGACTGTCAGAAGAGGTAGTTTAACAAGTGAATTAAATATAAATATAAGATGGTACCCAGGATTAGGGCCATCTTTTACTCATGTGGGCAAATGACTTAGCCTCTCTGTGCCTCCGTTCCTTCTGCTAAAATGGGAAAACAGAACCCTCCTCTTAGGGTTGTGAGAATGTAAATGATCAGTAATGTGAATATCTGAAACTGTTAGTAACTTGTGTCAAACATCAAGGTGACCCACAAAGAAGCAGAGAATGTCATCTGTGGGTCCAAGATTTCTCAACTGGATATGATTTACCTTGCTAATCTGGAGTTTGATCCTGACCTTGCAGCTGAGGATCCTAGCCTAAAAAGCTAACATGTATTAAGGATTTACTATGTGCCAAGTTGTGTACGTTATTTCAGTCTTACAACTATTTTTCCTATATTACAAATAAGGAAAACCGAGGTATAGAGAATTACACAGTTTGCCCAAGGTCACATAAATACTTGAGTACAAGATAAATCCCGGAATTGAGTCCTCACGGTTTGCTTCCAGAGACCACTACTCTCTATTACACAGAAAGAAGATTTGAGCCCAAAGGCAGATTCCCTTTAAACAAACATGCATAGCATTACTCTGCACTATCAGTGTCATCATCATCCATGCACGAAAAGAAACACTAGCAAAGCAAAATTGAGATCAACTGAGAATGAACCACACTTTCCTAGTCTGTGTATTTTTTTTTTTTTTTTTTTTTTTTTTTTTTTTTTTTTTTTTTTTTGAGGCAGGATCTCACTACGTAGTTTAGGCTGGCCTGGAACTCCAGCAATCCTCCTGCCTCATCCTCCCAAGGGCTGGGATTATAGGTGTGCACCACCACACCCAGCTTGTGTATGCAATCTGAAGTCAAATTATCAGAGTTGTTGGAAGTATGGAAATGGAACCTGGGTGGTTATCTAATCTCAAAAAGTGATCCCCCGTTAAGCCTATCTGTAGACATTCTCACCCACCCTAACACAAATAACAGCTGTCATTTAGTGAGCACTCAGTGTAGTACTCATCTGACCAAAGTATGCTCAGACAAGACCCTATCCCTTGAACAGCATCACCCAGGGCCTCCCTCATTGTTCTGGGCTGACCACACTCTTTCTGGTCACAGAGGCTTTCCCCACACAGGACACTAGTTAGTGTCTTTCTAGTCTGCTCCCTGCCTTTCTCAGATGACCACACCATTATAATAAAAAAAAAATCAGATCTAGGTAATTTGGATATAACCACACAGTATTCTGGTTATTGAACAGTTCGTGTACATACAGTGTGGCAGCATCAAAATCTAACCAGTTTTGGGAACACAGAGAAAATTGTTTCCAGAAAATCACAACAGTCGACCCTGAAACAACTACACTCATCTATGGCCATTCTGTGGCTCTGTCTGAACAAGTTAGAAAGCTTCCCAGATGTTTTCCCACAACTGCAGTACTACCCACCCTAGTGAATGCTTTTAGTATCAGACGGTTTTCAGGCGCCATCCTAGTCTATCAGCATCTACAAAAACAGCCTTTGCTCACTTTGCCCCAGGTTTTCTTTAGAAGTTTCCACATAGTTTTCCCTAGGATATTTTCTAAAATATGAAGTTCATATTATTCCCTCATTTAAAATCTCAAGCTTCAAACTCTGGTAGACAAATACAGGCATTCAAAAGCTTTCATTTTTATTCCTTCCTGTCTTTCCAACCTCTCCTCTTGTCACTGGCCATAACCTACACATCAGGGACACTGAAGTACATGTCATCAGTAATGCGTGTGCCTTCTGATACCCCTGTTTTTTTCCAGCTGGTCCTTCTGCCTGTCCTGTCCTGTGATGTCTCCTCCTCTGTGACCTCCACTGATCTTCCAGTTCTATGGTCCGCACTAGAGAAGTTACCCACACATATTTTAATGATCTCATTTTATATCTGCTTCTCTATCGTACTCTGAGGCCCCTGAGGGGGAAGCGGTCTTCTTTTAGACAGCTGTCTGTCTCACTGAAGTGCTCAGTAAGTGGCTCAAAAATGACTGAACTCCCCACAAAGAAAATGAACACTTTCTGAGCACTGTTTCCAGGTGATTAGGCTTCTCAATTCAGTTTGGAGATTCTAAACACAGGAGCCATTGGGACAGCTACAGATTCCTGTTCCCAACCTCTTTGTCAAGCACTAGACCTATAAATTCATTTCTTCTGGGGGGCTGGGGATTTAGCTCAGCAGCAAAGCGCCTGCCTGGCAAGCGCAAGGTTGTGAGTTCGGTTCCCGGTACCGGAGAAAAACCAAAAAAAAAGAAAAAAAAAATCATTTCTTCTGTACTTCCCTATCCTAGCAAGCAATCAAACTACACTTATCTCCTCAAATTGTGCATCTCTAACCTATACCTTCCATGCCCCTTTCTCCTATCTGCTCCCACTCCAACATAATTTAGTCTTGCAGGCAAGATAAGACTTGCTACCAATTTTCATCACCAAATGATTTCCCTTCCAATTATTCACTGTCTTTTTGAGATATCTCCTACATTTACCCATAGCATTTACTGAAAAAAAATGATCTTGTCTGACTTCTCTGCTCTGGATTTCTTCATAGCCTCGCTGATGTCTCTCAGATGCTAAGAATTCTTTTTCTCCTGAAAAGGTCCTTCTCCCATTCTTCATCACGGTCCCTGACACCTTCTTACTCAAGACAAAAATCAGTTATTTCTCCTTATTTTTAACCTCTCCTTACTGATAAGTTCCTTTTTACTTACAAACATATTACTCCTTATCCTCAAAAAAATTTGCACTATTTTGCTCATTCACTCTTTCATTTTCCTTTCAAGGCCAAACTTCTCAAGATAGTTTTTATCTGGTTCCTGCTTCTTCTCACTACTGCTGTATGAAGTTCTTCTCCCACAACCACTGTAATGAAACTACTCCAAGAGGTAACTCAGGATTATCCAACTGCCAAATCTAAACATCTTCTCCCCATCTTCAGCCTTCTGCCTGCCTACTCCTCGCCGCATTTATGCTGTTAGGAGGCACAGCACTGCTGTTAAACAGTCCCAACAGCCAAAGGGACAGAGTTCAAAGTTTACTTCTGCAAATTTCTAGCTGAAGGTTTAGGTAGGTTTTTGGGTGTTTTTTTTTTTTTGTAAAGACTAAATTCTTTTCTCCATTTAATTATCTATAGAAAGGAGATGATGATAACAGTGCATATTTCCAAAGATTGTTTGGTAGATTCTCAGCATCTCTGTTTCATATCTTAACTGATTAATACTGGACATTTCTAAGCTTGATAAATAAAAATAATTATATTCTTTGTCCATAGGGTTGTTGACAATATTGAAATTGCATGTAAGGAGTCTAACACAATAGATAGCATACAGAATTTGCTTTCTTGGTGAAGAAAACAGAGGAAACATTTCTGGTTCAGTTCGTTTTCTTCCTGTTTGAGATCTGAACGTTGATGTAGGATACATGGCAGTCACACTCCGAGAAAGAAGAGCCACGAGAACTGCAAAGGTGACCATCTACTACCACTGAACACACATCAACAGCCCTCAAGTTTAAATTTGTTTCTGTTTAAACTGTATGAACTGGCTTACAATACCTGGACTTTTAGTATCTTAAAAAAAAATCTTTAACATTCTTTTCTGCAGTCTTTGTAGGCAGCTTACACAAATGAGCCTACAGTTATCTCAAACTTAACCATATATGTCTATTTGTGGTCTTTCTGGTGTCCAAAGGCCTCAGACAATTAAAGTAAGTATGTGACCTAGAATGCACTAAAGAAGTACAACTGTAAAATATGTCGAATTTTTTCTATTTCTATTATATGTAAGAGCCACTTACTACAGTGAAATATGACAAGTTTTGAAGTTGGCCAGAATAAGGTAAATTCTAGTTCCCTTAAAATTTATTTTTTTATATTCTCTTATTTTTCTAATATTTCCTCAAAATGTTGTGAAGAGTTAAGACTAATGTTGCAAGCACCTAGCACAGTGGTGAGTGTGGGACAGACACACACACACACACACACACACACACAAACCCCATCATGACTATGAACTCTTTTATTGCTTTTAATTACATAATAGGCAATAAGTAAATATTATTGTCCTGATCCTTCCCATAGAGTATACAATGGTATAACATTTTATCAAGGAAGACTAGAGTTAAAACTTGCCTCTATGAAGCTTTTGCAGATTAATCCCAACTATTCTGGCCATATCCTTTCTTAATTTTCATTACATTTTATGGTCATATTTTTTTAAATCCATAATGGTAAGTGATTTCCTCTTTAAATTTCCACTCCAACAACACACTAACTACTCAAAAACGTGTTTTAGAATTTGCTTTCTTTTTTTTTTTT